CCAGTTAAAAATGAAGAAATAAAAATATCCTGTGCGATAAAGTAAAAATGTCCCAGAATACAAGTAACCCAAGAATGTGAACGCCATTTATTTTCTGTTTACAAACTATATACAAATAATATTTCTTTTTATGTACCATGTCCTTTCAGAACGTAGGCGATCATGGCTCTCCACCTCCCTCTATCCCTTGCAGCTCTCATCAAGTCCCTTCCCTCTGCTTCCTCCCCCAGACCACGTTCTGTCACCCACTTGCTCAAGCTTGCCAGGTATGTTGTGCGCTGCTTTCACTTGTCTCTCTTTATCCTCCATTCGACCCGTGAGTATCAGATTCTCCAGGCCCTCTTTCCTCATTATGTGTTCCTGAAACTTCATCTGCCTCTTTCTGATGTTAAGCATAAGCCTTCGCCTTGTTTGTAAGCTAAGACCTTATCGTTGCTCACACACTCGGTTCATGATATCCTTAGCATCCTTCTGTAGACATCTTTGTCGCCTGGAGTCTCTTTTTCATCTTTGAGGAAATCGTCCAATATTTGCTGCCGTAAAGAAGAACATATATTTCTGATAACTAGATAAGCTAGCAAATCCACTGCTACAGATAACATGTCAATAGCTCTACCGACAAAGATTTTATTGTCATTTATAGAATATGTTCCAAATGTGCTCCGTTCTGCTGAATTCCTGAATTCTACGGGCGAAGTTGTCGATCACTTTGTTACACTCTTCTGTTGGTATAGCTCTGATTTCTCTGAGTGATTGCTGCCTTTAGCTAGGAGGTGGTGCGGGGGTTGTTCTTGTAGACTCGATTCTTCAGATACCCCCACAGATAAAAATCTGTGGGGTCGGGGGAACGGAGAAACCACTCAGGTTCGCGTTTAGGGCTGATGAGTCGGTTGGGAAACTTCTGGTTTAGCCACTCCATAGAGATATTTGCTGTATGAGGGGGGGGCTCCATCTTGCTGGTACCATTGGTGCCCCCTCTAAACCTTGGTTGTACCTCTACCACGGTTCATGGAAGGATTTGGTGAGGTCAAGGTCCTGGCACCATCTACGGACGGATTTCATCCGACTCCTGCCTACTAAATCTCAGACAGCTGCTGTTTTCAGGAGAACTTACAGTATGTTTTCTGCCAAATTAGACTGCTGCAGACATTTTTTGTCATGTTGTTAATTGTCCCTGTAGTCTCAAATTTCTTGACCCATCTGTAAATGTCAGTTTTTCTCTGGGTTTTATTCCTGTCATACTTTCTACGGAATATCGCGATGGCATGTTTACAGAAATTTCCCTCCAATTTTTTCAGTACACAGAACACTTTCAGTTCTGTAAAAGGAATTCTAGTTGGTGTTCTGGTTTTGTTATCTCCTCAGCATTCTAAATCTGAAATATAAAAGCAAAATATTAAAAATCAACAAATTACATTTATACTGGGAGAAGAACACAGAAATAAGACGCGTCTGGAGGAACAAAGCGCATATAAGCTATGACTGTGTCTCTTCTCAGTAGGCCAAGCATATAATTAAAGCGGCTGAGAAAGTCAAGCATCACAGCAATTATTCAGCACCAGCAGAGGAAAGAAAAGAGAAAGAGCAGCAAAGATGTCAAAGTAAACAGAATCAGCAGCATATCAGCTTTAGATCTCCATGTACTAGGATCCAGATTGCCAGACGGGGTGACCCTAATAGATTATAGGGTTGATTCGTTAATGTGTTGGCATAATAACTGCAAGTTCAATTCCTGAGTAATATTAAAAATAAAAAAAATCTACACTCATAGATTAAATAAAAAGGTCATTTCGAAATTCTCTGACAGTTACCCAGAAGCTGATAGCTACCTGAAAAAGCCGGGGGTACAGCTGCCTAATTGTTAGGGTAATAACAACAATTGTAAGAAAAATAATGAGGATATTAGTCCGAATGTTAAGTGATGAGGGTCAACTAGCCTTGTAAAATGATATCCACTACCCTACCTTTCATTATCTAAGTGGTATCTTCTTTTGTGCATGCGTATTTAGAACGTTTCAAGAAAAGGCTAAAAACTATCTCCATATGGTGTGTGACGCATCTGAAAAAACGCTAATATATATATATATATATATATATATATATAGTCAAACCTAGTAAGCCAGACAATCCTGGCTTTCCTTGACGATCCGCTTAGGTGAAATCTGGGTAGGTTTGTCTGGCTAACTAGGTTTGACTAGGTCTGCTCTACGGTTGTATTGAGCACTTTTTAGTTAGTTGTTTATTCGTGCCAGGGTTTTTTTTCTTTGGGCTTTGAACCTGTATCTGTGCGATTTTTTCGACAGACTTTCATGTTCCTGGCTCTTTCTTTTTTAAAAACCTTTTTTTTCCCTTCGAGATTGATTTGATTCTTGACAAATCAAAATTCGAAGGTTTTTCGAGACGAGTATAGTTACCTATATATATATATATATATATATATATATATATATATATATATGTATATATACTACACCACGAAAATAATAAACCAAAACTTCAAATTCTGGAGGCCCTCTATATCAAAAGCAACCAACCAACACTCAACAAAATTTATTTCGCGTGTAGCAGCAACATGTTGAAGTGCATATAACAAACATTCAATGCCATTTTGCTTTTCTACTAATTTTCGGTCAGCTCCCTTAGATTGGGACGCTTGTTTTACAAAAAATTCTAATTTTTGAAATAATCATAACAGAACTCGTCCGCAAGTGTTTTTTAACACTCACCGTCACAACTATCATAGTTACAATAAGTATGTCGATATAATTCACCCTTTTGGATGATCCCGGAAGAAATCGAAAATACTTGGGTAGGAAAAAAACTGCGGCACCTGCTTTGATGAATTTCAACTCAAAATCAATAAACTGATTAGAGAACTAGAAAGGATTATTATAATTTAAATAGATATATGTTTATATTATTCAATGAAACATGTTTGAATGAACATATGCTTCCAAAATATATATATATATATACATATATATGTGTGTGTGTGTGTAAGTGTGTGTGTGTGTGTGTGTGTGTGTGTGTGTGTGTGTGTGTAAGGAGTGTGGCAGAGCGCCCAAACTGTGAGGAAGTCAGTTTGGCGTGGCGTAAACATGATATCCAGGTATTTGGGAAATAAGTTACTGGCATGCAAGTACACAGGTAAAAAAAGGGACCTGCTTTTTATCTCTGGATAATTTCACCTTCTCGCCCCAGAATATATTCAGTCTTTGAAATAAGACCGAAAGAATAAACAAATTTTCAGTTATTTTTCTACACGCTGTATTCGTATTTTTTGTTTTTATTTTAGTAATGTTAATGATTGCTAAGCACCATGAATACTGAACTCTTATATGATATCAGTTCTCTCATATGGCAGTGAATGGTGGAAAATCTCCTCACAGATGAAGAAAATACTGGAAGCAAAAAATGTTCTACAGAAGGGTGTTGCGAATACCATTAACTGAACATGTGAGCAATGGCAAAGTTCTGGAAACAATGGTGAGACAAAAGGGCAATTATACTTAACATCAGGAAGAGACAGGTGAAAATTCTAGAGCAAATAATGAAGAAAGGTGGATTGGAAAATTTGATAATCCCAAGACAGATTGAAGGTAAGAGAGATAGAAAAAAGATTGAGTGAATGGATGGCGGAGTAAGGTTTGGGTGAGATAACAAAAAGAAAAAAAAATACTAAAAGCTAAAAATGACAGGAAATCGTGGAGAGTCACCGTCCTGAAAAAACAGGGTACATAAAAGAAGAGAAAAATGTTAATGACAATCTCCGAAGGATTTTTGGCAAACACAAATCCCGCAAAAGATATGTCCCTGGACAGTGAGTCTGTTGTAAGTTCAAATTTTCAATACACACTCAGCACAATAAGACAGTTCCACAATATTCTTCAATCTGATGCCTCGATTACGTATGAGGGGGGTGATAAATATTAATTAGATTGTGTCATAAGTAATTTTCGTTTGGGGGAATGAACTAAATTGATGAATATATCCTCCTAACTACTAATCATACGCGACAGTTAAGAATAAATTTGGGTTCCCCTAACATACATTAGTGTTCACACGGCAGTGGCAGCGTACACAGTAGATGAAATGAAAATGTCGTTCCCCTCTATGGCAACGTAAGGCCGCATAGAGCAGAAATAACACAAGGAAATAGTTTGGAGCTCGATTGGTCTATTCTACCTCAACAGCCATATTTACCTGACTTTGCTCTAAAGGATTACATTTTTATCGCTGCAAAACACTTTCATGGAGAAAACTTTCCAATAGAAACACGATTCAAGAGTTCATCGAAAACTTTTTCACCAGAAAAGCTACGGAATTTTACTCAAAAGTGATCAGAACGTTGCCTGTAATGTGAGTGGTTGTGGTTAAATGTAAATAAATATATATGAAGAAAGCTAACAATATATGCAAGGCAAATAAACAGTAATAAGTCATAAATTTGTGTATTTCTGCCTATAAAAGACGGGAATGTATTTTGCAGTCATTCTTTATGAATATTGCAACCAACACTACCGGATAAGTGACTACAAGTCATTGCAAATAATAGTGAATATATAATTGAATAAGATGGAGTTGTACTTTATTTTTAAGAATAATGTTGATAAATAAAAACAAAAATTATTTATGACTCAACCGAATTAATAGTAATCGATAAAAATGCTTCGTCTAAAAATGTAGATGAAAGTATTAAGCCGAATTAATAATAATGTTTCATTTAATAATAATAATAAAAAGTAATGCTCCTACAAGTATAATTCAGTATGTGCTTTTGTATCTATTTTGGCAGACCCCAGCGTCAAAACTCACATTTGCTGCGCCTACAATTTTAGACTCAGTTATTTAGGCATTTTAACAATTACCTGTGCAGGGAGTCACGTTCTGGTGCGTTGTGGCTGCTCATATCTGGAAGGTTGGAAGAGTTTGTGAGTCTTAATAGCCTCTAGATCATTCTTCAGAGCGGTAAACAGTCCGAGAGGAAATACTGCTTCCACATGAGGAAAGATAGTTTCTGTTCAGGCAATCTTTCTTTCTTTCTTTCTTTCTTTCTTTCTTTCTTTCTTTCTCTTCCATCTTCCTTCCTTCCTTTTTTCTTTCTCTTCAGTCTCTCTTTCTCATTTTCTTTCTTTCTTTCCTTTCTTTCTTTCTTTCTTTCTTTCCTTTCTTTCCTTCCTTCCTTCCTTCCTTTCCTTCTATATTTCTTTCGTTCTAAATTTCTAAAATGTTTCTGGTTCTTGCATAAAGCTACTATATATTTTTCTTTCTTTCCTTATTTTCTTTCTTTCTTTCTTCGTTTCTTTCTGTCTTTCTTTCTCTACTTCCTTTCTTTCTTTCCTTCCTTTCTTTGTTTCTAAAATCTTTTCTGGTTCCTACATAAAGCTACAGCATATTTTTCTTTCTTTCTTTCCTTCTTTTTCCTTCTTTCCTTTCTTTCTTTCTTTCTTTCCTTCCTTCCTTCCTACATTACTTTCTTACTTTCTTTCTTTCTTTCTTTCTTTCTATTTTTCTATAACCTTTTGTGGTTCCTAAATAAAGCTACCACATATTTTTCTTTCTTTCCTTCTCTCTTTCTTTCTTTCTTTCTTACGCTTCTTCCGTCCTTTTGTTTCCTTCTCTCTTTACTTCTTTATTTTTTATTTCTTTCTTTTTTCTTTCCTTCGTGTCTTTCTTCTATCTTTCTTTTATATTTTTGGCTTTCCGAAACTTCTGATTCCTACGTAAAACTACTGCATATTTTCTGTCTCTCTCCCACTCTCTCTCTCTCTCTCTCTCTCTCTCTCTCTCTCTCGATATATATCTATCTATGTATGTATCTCCCTCTCCCCTTCTCTCTTTCTTTCTGTTATACTTTCACCTTCTAAAATTAAATTATTTTGTTTCCTGCATAAATCTACCGTCTTTTTTTGATTTCTTTCTTTCTCTCTTTGTCTTCAACTTTTACTCATTCCCCCTCGCCCATATTTTTCTTCTCTTCTATTTCCTCTTCTTCTTTTTTCTTCTTTTCCTCTTCCTTTTCTACTACTACTACTACTCTTTGTTCTTTTTTCTTCTTAGTTTTCTCTGTTTCTCTCCTACATTCCTATGTTTGTTCTACCCCACCACCACCACTCACACACACCGTCATTCATTATATCCTTACAATCTACGATATATATTCTTAATTCGTTTTATTTCCTCCTTTCTTAAGACCCCCCCTCTCTCACAGTTCCTCTGAAAAGACAAAAAATACTCTCCTTTGCTTTTCTCCTTCCTGTCTTCATGAGTTCTTCAATTTCTAACTTTTTATTTATTTCCCTCCATTAAAGACAAACCGTGGTGTAGACTGTCACTCATAAGCAGTACCGGTAACCATGGAGATTCAACTCGAAGTGAACGAATCAGCATAAGATATAAATGTCAGCCAAATAGCAATATGGCGGCCATGTTACGGTCAGAGAAGAAAGCGGCGCTCTATAGAAAATCAGTTCTACGCCAATGCCTTTTACTTCTCTAGATCAGGATATCAGTGTTTACATTGTTACATTAATCATTTCACAGACGAAATGGGAAAATGAAAAGGAACTTATTTTTAAAACTAATATTTATTTAGATTCAATAATTATAGCGTTTTCTTTTTTCCGTTACATTCCAAGTGACTTAGTAATTAGCGACTGCAAGTCCTACTTAAGGTTGCAGTAACTTAATTTAGAGACGGTATCTCCTTGTATCTTAGTGACGTTCCTCTGTCAAGCAGATATAAGATGTGATGTGATGTGGTCGTTTACCACCTTCCTTGCATTCCAAAGGTGGGATGTGCGTTTATTCTAAGTGGTAATTAACTATATAAGGTAGAGACTCCCCTGAGACATTTACTATACTTGGATATTTATTTTTCAACATAACCTCCTTTCTTGACAATAAACTTAATACACTGGTAATGGTAATATTAGTTGTTTCCATACAAGGAAACATTTGACATTCATAGACCGAGCAGCCAATACAGTTTTCGGTTGAGATCTATAAAATCTTTCACTTAAAACAACTTTGTAGGAAAATAGGTTTCTTAAGTACAGGCTATTTAAAAACGCGACTCGAGTTTTCAGATTGATGTTTGGTTTTGTAGCAATTTGTGGTATTTGGGCGAAACTACATTTAACACCACATATTTTATGTACAATTTCTTTTTGTTTTATACTAAATTTTGTATAAATGAACCAAGCACTTAGGTATTTTACGTATATTTTATATTTAACAGATTGCGACAGAAATGTTTTAAAAAGTCATTTGTGCTTTTACAAAAGGCGATCAATATGATCGATATAAGGTTGTAGTATCTGATTTCATAGATTTTATTTTAATCTATTTTCTAAATCTGGAGATAGTTTGTTAAAGTTTTGAATATTTATTAATAATTAATCATATTTAAAATTTTCATAACTTTTTAAAACAAATGCTAAATATATAGTTGTTTGTTTTTTAAAATCTGAAATCTTTAAATTAAATGAATATTTTATGAAAATATTGCTACCATACAATGTACATGTGCGTCTTATGACATGGTGCCTAGCGTATTGATTCTAGACTTCGATTTAAGACAATATAGCTACAACAGTTCTAAAATCTTCACAGTGTTATTTGTAACATTGTTTTGAAGACCAGTTGTTTGGTAAAAATGACCATAACTCAAGAAGGAAAAAAGAAGCCGGTCAGTGTCTTTTGATCTAACAAGACTATTTAAAAACATGACTCGAGTTTTCAAGTTAATTCTTTGGTTATATTTCAATTTGCAGTCTAGACTGAAACTGCCTCTGACATAACCTATTCTATGTTCAATTTCCTTTTCTCTTATACATAATTTATTATAACTGTTTTATATACATTTAGCTCCGGACTTGTACAATATATTGTAAGTATGAAACTAAGTATTTTCCTACTTACAATATATTGTTATGTAATACAATATTGGGAGATGTTAGCATAAAAGAAGATGCTGGATTCATGCTTTTGAATCGATAAAGAGTATTTTCACTAACAAAAGATTGTTTAATAACTTCAATAACTGTATATTTTATTTTTATCATAGATCTAAAATTATTAGATTTTAATTTTTTTTAAAAAATAGAGAAAAATAAAAATAAAAACACTTTGTAGAATTAGAAATGTTATTGATCTTTCGATAAGGCTCGTTTTCCTCTTTGTTTCTGATATTAGTTTAACTGTGGCATCAAAAATGGCGGCAATGTTTCGGTTTTAGATATTTTATCAGTAGAATGCTGTTACATAGTTAGTATCGATTTATCTGTGAGATAAAAATAATCAGTTGGGGAAAACATTAATTTAGTACATACATTTTGTCGTTTAATTTAACAAGTTTAAAATAAAAGAAAATTCTAATTCTGTAAGATCAACAAAAATGTCCAATAGAGATATAAAATTACACACACTATATATATAGATAGATAGATATAGATATATATTCTGTTTTTACCTTATTTTTATGGATACCCTTATCTGAGTAAATGTTCTGTTCTTTTAATTAAACAGTATTAATTACATTTACCGGCCTAAATATTCGGGAAATTTTGTTGGAAATTTGCGTCCTCCGACAGGAATCGAACCTTTATCCTATAAAAAAACCATCATTGGGTTGACGTGCTATGCCTATTCAGCCAGTTATAAACAGAAAATGTATTTAAAAATTTGTCGGATTTATCCATTTATATATATATATATATATATATATATATATATATATATATATATATATATATATATATATATATATATATATATATATATATATATATATATATATATATATATATATATAAGACATTTTTTTAATTTTCTTTTATATGTTTATACGTTCTTTTTTATAGATACAAATATTTAAGTAAATGCTCTGTTTATAATAACCGAGCGCTCCTCTGTGGCCCAATCGGTTGAGGCACGTCAGGCTATATGAAGTTTCCGTATAGGATACAGGTTCGATTCCTGTTGGAGGGAGCATATTTTCTATGAAAATTCCTCGGACATTCAAGCCGATAAATGTTGTCAATACTTTTTATTATAAACAGTGCATTTACTTAAATATTTGCATCTATAAAAAGAATGTATAAACATATAAAAAATGTCTTAAAATATATAAAAAAATTTTAAAAATTGTTTCTGATAACTTTACGCCTAATTATCCTAGCCCTCTCTCCAACGTTCTTTCAAAACCTTGAACATGCCATATTTTGTATACAAACACGATAAATTTGTGGCTGACATTATTTTCCGCAATTACCAGTGATGACATGTCTATGTTCCATTTTATCATGATATGAAATAATAACACATCCACCTCCACCCACTTAGCTTACTTTTCTATTTAATGTAGATCTGATATTTAATTGGTTAATCAAGACATATCCACATTTTTTTTAATTCTGACGTTATGTACACCCTACTTTTCAGAAAAGAGGTAACACTCAGTTTTTAAATCTTCTTAAAAATCATTTAATCACCATTTACTTACCATCACCTGAAGAAGTACAATCAAAGTATTGAAACATGAAAGCATTTGTGTAAGGAGTTCGACATGTTTTTATTATAATCTGTCATAACATATATATATATATATATATATATATATATATATATATATATATATATAATGTAAACTGAGTTCAATTTTAGCGTCGATATATATATATATATATATATATATATATATATATATATATATATATATATATATATATTGAGGTTACGTAAGCAGAATTTCGATTTGAACCGTTTTTCGGTTGAACCATTTTAGGTTGAACTACTTTTAATGTTTTCGGGGCAGAGTTTAAGCATGAGTTATTCAATGTCTTTTTAGCGTTTTCGGATTTTACCAGACATCATTAAAAAAGGTTTTCTGATATAGTAACGGCAATAATGCATTTACGTTTCTTTTGTGCTTTTCAACTCTCGCATATTCACGCGTCAACTGACATCGTGTCAGGTTTTTTTTGTTTGTTTTTTTTAAGTACCGCGTGTTCTGCAATTGTTTTTTTAGCTGCGAAATATGTTTAATTTCTTAGTTCATAAATGTAATGAAATTTTATTAATTCTCAGTTTGTTTTTTATGATTAAGGCTTCTAATATTAGTACTCAATTTTTACAGTTTATTTGGCAGAGTATTTTTGAACTATGATAAGTATTTGTTGCATTTAGTGCCGTGCTGTTTGGTGATATATGATTTAATGGAGCTATTATCGAATAAATTGTATGTTAATCGACAATAAAATTTAATGATTATGTCATCAATGTATTTGTTGTTTGATTTTATTATTATTATTATTTCCTTGGGTTTCTGTCATATACACATTTCCTTCCGTATCCCAAGCAGAGACATAAGGTCAGAAATGGCTTCATGGCATCTTCCACTGATCACTTTTTATAAAACAAATACATTAAAATCACACACATTTTACATAGAAAAAGCTTTTCGTAATGTGTGAGCTTTACTTGTTAGTACAATTCTTTTATATTTCTTTAAGGCATGGGCTACCAGGAATTGATACAGGTTTTATCTCTGTAACCAGGTCTGGGTGATATTATTATTATTATTATTATTATTATTATTATTATTATTATTTGCTTTGATTTGTATTGTACACTCATTTCTTTCCGGGTCCCAACCACAAACCTAGAGTCAGAAATGACATCATGATATTTTCCCAGAAACCTTTTTGTAAAGAAAAAATAAAACAGCTTAAAAGCACATACATGTTGTATAGTTAAGGTGTGAGCTGTACCAGTGAAAAGAATATTGTGTATTTCTTTAAGGCATGAGCTACCAGGGATCCCGTCAATGAGTCAATCAGAACTTTTTTTTCCAATCAAACACAGG